GGTTGTGTAAACATGTTGAAGGTTTGCTCGATAAATATCTTCATGTGCATGTGGTAATTAATATGGGTGTCCAGGCTTCGGTGTTAAATATTGATTGAAAGGTGTTCCGGGTCATGTCCCTTAGTTTCAAATCTGCAGGGTCACATGCTCAATGGCTAGCAGTTTGATAGAGTACTAGGAAATCAAAGAAATATGAGAGACAAACACCGAAAGTGTTTTAGATGTTTTCGAAAATGTTATGGTGATGTCCAGAGAGTTCCGGAGGTGCCCGAGAGAGTCCCGAAAGGCCCTGTAAGCCCATGAAAGCTTTCAGAATGGCCCAAAATGTTGCAAAACCTTTTGAAACATTCTTAAAGGCCCTACTAGGCTTCCCTATGGGCAGCAACCATGTGGACCATTATGGGCCAGAAAATTATTTGCCCCCTTAGCTGGGGGCCATGCCAAGTCGGGTGCCCCTAACTTGGGTGGCAAGATTTTTTGTGTGGGCAACCCTCCTCGCTGAGGCCACTCTGTCCATTCTAAATAGAGGGGAGGGGCAGCCTGCCCCAAAGATACAACTCTTGACTGCGCCCTCCCTCACCTTTGTGCCACACATCTCTCTCGATTTGACCGACACGCTGAAAGGCTACTCCTCTTCCTTTGTAGTTCTCTGCTAGGACTTTGTCCTGGACAATGGAGTGTTGTCGAATCGTTCATACAGTATGCGTGGATACCGCAGAGGTGTCGTACTTTTCGTGCTAGATTGGTGGATCACCTTGGTAATATTCTTGCGGATGGGAGGTATAATCTAGATGCGGGAATCGATGAGTTTTTGCCAACAACTCCCTCAACTAGTGCACGGGAAACATTGTTCGTCGTAATACGATCGCTATCGTTGCATCTTCATAGTGATCATGGGCATGTTTGTTAGTACGATAATTTCTCTCTTTTGTAGTATGTTCCTCAACAGTGACAACATGAGATTTCTATGAGTAGATGCAAGTATGATGCACAACACATGGTGATGTGCGAGTATTGCATTTTTTGCGGGTATTAGATTGGATCTTATACTTGATGTTCTTGTTGCTTCCCTCTAAATTGCAATTATTTTGATCTTGCTGGCATAGTGGGACTTTGTTACAAAGGGATGGCTTTCCGCGGTCCTTCTATGTTGCACTCGAGGATGCTGGTTGTGAGACCAAAGTCATGCTTTAGTCCTTTGGGGTTTCCCTTTAGTTAAGAAAATTTGTGAAGAAGAGGGCTATACTAGGAACACGCTTTACGAAGTTTAGTATGAGGCTTGAGATTTTTTATTATTAAATCTCGTGTTTCATAGATCTGGCATCCTGAAAATTTAACCCAAATGTCTAGACTGTCCGCGGACCCTCACACCCAGCTGTGGGGCAGATTTGGCCTTCTCGGACGTGTTCGCCACATTGACCCAACTTGGCCTGGCCTACCCACACCCCAAACCCTAGCTCAACATATTTTCTTGTGTTTTCTTATGTTTAGTTTGAGGGCCCTGGATCTAGTGCCCCCCCACCCCGGCGAAATCACAGGATCCGCCTAGGTGGTGGGGTGAGATGGGGGTGGAGGTGTCTTAAAAGGACACCATAAGGGTAATTTAATTATTAAGATACAAGAGATCCACTATCGTGTAAGGTAAATATAAGACATGTTATCATGTCTTGGGCGAGAGAATAAAATCAAAGCTACTCCTATATTGATAAATACATAAACATATCTGACAACAAACAACAAATATTAAGTTAGCGGGAAACCTAATATGTGGAATAGACTTACATGAGTGACGCTAGCAATGCGATGCCATGTGAAAAAAAGTCAGCTAATTCGACAAATCATGAAGCCTAGAAGAGGATGATAAGATGGAGTAGTTTAATTTTTATAGCTTTCTGGCACTTCCCCCTCCTATGTTGAAACTTGCAAAATAACATAGGAAAAGGTATAAGATAGTTGACATAATATGTAAGACATGGTTAATAATGAACAATTGAAAGATGATGAAAAATGGATGTATCAAATGTCTGAGAGAGGATGTTTTGCTTTCTTCTTAGAATTTCTAACAATTGAAAGATGTTAATAATGAACAATTGAAATATTTTTTTCTAACAGGAAAATTTGGGCGAAACCAACACAAAAAAGTGTCATACCAAATTACAATCTCTACCACTCAAATGAAGTATAATTATTTAGATATAAGTGGTGTAGTTTTTTTATGAACATGTACATAGATTTAACCGTACAATTATTAATATAATATTTTTATATGAAAAATTCTCTCGATTTATAGATAAGATGTAACAACAGCACGCAGATTCATTGAAGTAAAAAAAGTATTACAACCAGATCAATGGATCACCTAGCTACGACTACAAGCACCGGAACGAGTCAAAGGTGAGCCACCGTCATTGCCCCTCTGTCACCGGAGTGGGGCAACTCTTGTACAATCGAAAAGTCGTCGTGCTAAGGCTCGAAGTAACAACTATTGCTCATGAATAAAAAGTGTAGATTAGAAGGACTGTACCTACAAACACACCAACCACCATGAGCATTGACCATATTAGAAGGATATGCCGGAGACCAAAGTCGACCCAATCCAACCAGATTCAACGGAGTCCAAAGCTGACCAGACCCAAGTAGATCCACTAAAGGCACACATCCATGTGTCGTCTGACCGTGCTAGATGCACATTCGGAGCCGCCTTGAGGCACCGACCAGGACACCGACAACTCAACAACCCTAACTACAGGAAAGAACCCCAAACTACTACTACCACCAGTTCCACAATGCCCCTGTCCCCCGACGCCGTCGAGATTGGTGGAAGAGAAGGGGGACCGACGATGCGACGAGAGGAGTGCACGTGGCTAGGGTTCACCATATAATTATGCGGGTCTAAGGAGTATGGTATACTCCCTCCATTTTTATTTACTTTGCATATTAACTTTGCTTCGGGTCAAACTTTCAAAAACTTTGACCAAGTTTATACAAAAAAATAACATCCACAATACAAAATCAATACCATTAGAATCATCATTTAATATATTTTCATATAATTTTTATTGTGAAAGTTTAGATTGTTTTCGATAAACTTTGTCAAACCTTGGAAAGTTTGACTTAGGTCATAGTTAATATGCGAAGTAAATAAAAACGCAAGGAGTATTTAGGCAATATTATGTAGATCTAAGGCCAATGGATCATTTTTTCTGGAATACCCACACACATGCATGTATCGTGGATAGATGTTCTGCCTTTTCTTCCGAATTTGTACCACATGTCTTTATACATTTTCTTGCGAGAAATCTCTCTGTACATTTTCGATAACGTACTTTTAGTAAGAGTACATAATAGTACCTGAAAAAAGAAATATGATTTTATCTCCAAGCATTTTCTCCGCGTTTCCTCGGCGGTTAAGGCAAACTCTTCCTTCCACACTCCGCCGGCGAGCCCCTAGATTCATCCCCCCTCTGCCCGATGCTTTGATGGCCGATGGCGGGGATGGGATCCCGCTGCCCTCACTTCAGATCTTTTAGTCCTCGCAGGTGTGGCCAAAAAAAAAAAAACACTCGAGACGGCAATGTTTTTTCTTTAATGGAAACGTTGATGTTTGTTGACCAATGTCTCATGACTGCTCGGCCAGGAGGTTTTGCACGTGAGTTTTTAGTTGTCACCCAAAAATACGGGACGGGAATAGCGAATAGGCCCGGAAGCCCGGAAGCAAGGCCCTAAACTTGTAGCCGCTTCCCACCGCCTCTCCGTACCCCGCTCGGCCGGCCGCACCGTCCGCGTCCACTATAAATAGCACCCAGTGGCCGCCCCAGCCTCGACACACCTTCCCATCGAAAACAAACCCAAACCTTTTCGAGCCGATCGCCTCGAAAGAGCAAACCGCCCGTGCCTCGTAACCTAGGAACTCCGTCGATCTGAAACCCAAGGCCGCAACAGCCAGAGCTTCGTCCTCCAAGAAGCGTGAGTTTCCCTGTCTTCGCCCTGCGATTTTGTAGTACGCGTCATGCCCGCAATGTTTTGTTCTGGATCTCGATTTAGGTTCTCCGGGGTCCTTTTTGGCAGCGGGGGATCGCGCTCTGCTTAGGCAGGGGATTTCTTTCTTGGGTCTCGTCCTCCCCTGTTCTACATGATGTGCTGGGATTCTTTTATTTTAGGGAGAGATGAGAATCTCTTGGTGCGTCTGATCTTGCTAGGGCTTCTCGCGGGGGCGGTGATCCGAGAAAAACGTCGCTTATGCATCCATTGTTTGTTGGTGTTTAATTGTTGATGATGCCATGAAGCGTGAATCTACAGTCTTTCATACTCTGTTTTGTCTTCTGTGTTGTCTTTGTTTATGATAGTCAAACCTTCCCAGCCTGCAAAACGCAGCGTATTTTATGGAAACGTCTGGTCATTTGTACACTTTTCCAACTTTTCCGCAATAGGCTACGCAATTATGTTCACCGGGCGGGCTCTGGTTTGCATTGATTTTTTATTTGATGTCTTTTAATTACGCATTTAGTGCCAATTATAACACATTTTGTCCTGGAGGAAAACCTGGAGATAAAAATGCAACACATTTTTTTGTGCTTTAGGTATCTAGTAGTAATATGGTTGACATATCGGATGCTACTGCTTTTCTGTGCCCACATTACACTCCAAATTGTTAATTCCTTTTGTACTATAGTTAATTGATAGGCTCGATCTTCTAAAAAGATTACGGAATTGATTCTAGGCCAATCCTAAGGAATATGCAGTGTGTCTAATTCAAGTGGTTCATGATTGTCTAAACATATTTGCTTTAACCATCTAAAAGTATGCTCATGAGCTCATGTGTTTGCTACTACTCCGAATCGACTGTACTATTAACCATATGAATTATGCTCATCAGCTAAATAGGCGTTTGCTTCTTCAGGTCTTAATAATGCCGCATGTTACTGCCATATTACTCGAGTCACTAACTTTTTTTCTTCTCTCATCATCAGCACGAAGGAACGAGTGTGAATGTTCTAATGATGTCAAAAGCCGGCAAGAAGTCTAGTAGTAGTAATTCCATGTACGAAGCTCCCCTCGGTTACAAGATTGAGGACGTTCGCCCTGCCGGAGGAATCAAGAAGTTCCAGTCTGCTGCCTACTCCAACGTAAGCACCACAAGACTTAACCAATGTAGATGCAAATTTGAATATGCTCATTGATGCATTTGATACTCTTGTTTCTAACAATTACACTCTGATCTTTGTTTTGCAGTGCGCCCGCAAGCCCTCCTGATATTCCCTTCGCATGCCTTTCAACGTAGCATAGGATTCTTTACTGCAATTTCCCTTTCCTTTTGTCCAATAAATCTCCCTTGGCTGGCTGCTTCCTCCGCTACTTGGCTTGTCCTCTCCGATCTCCTCTGTCCTCTATCATCCTCCCTTCTTCCTCGCGACACTTGATCAGATGGAAATGTCTTTGGCTGACTGCTGGGCCCCTGCCCCCGCCTCCCCTATTGGGTTTGAGGGCTACGAGAAGCGCCTCGAGATAACTTTCTCCCACGCGCCTGTCTTTGTGGACCCGTGCGGCCGTGGCCTTCGCGCCCTCTCTCGACACCAGATCGACTCCTTCCTCGATCTTGCACGGTGCACCATTGTGTCCCAGCTCTCGAACAAGCAGTTTGATTCTTATGTGCTCTCGGAGTCGAGCCTCTTTGTGTACTCCCACAAGGTTGTCATCAAAACCTGTGGAACAACAAAGCTCCTGCTGTCGATTCCCCGCATCCTTGAGCTTGCTGCGGAGCTGTCGCTGCCACTTCTTTCAGCCAAGTATTCCCGCGGGACGTTCATCTTCCCCGGCGCGCAGCCGGCGCCGCACCGCAGCTTCTCGGAGGAGGTGTCCGTGCTGAACGGCTTCTTTGGTGGCCTCAAGTCAGGTGGCAATGCATATGTGATGGGTGATGCGTTCAGGCCCAAGAAGATGTGGCACGTCTACTACGCCACGGAGGAGCCTGAGCAGCCCATGGTGACGCTCGAGATGTGCATGACTCGGCTGGACGCCAGGAAGGCCGCGGTGTTCTTCAAGAACTCTGCCGACGGCGGCTGCTCCTCGGCCAAGGAGATGACCAAGGTCTCTGGCATCTCTGCTATCATCCCCGAGATGGAGATCTGTGACTTCGACTTCGACCCGTGCGGGTACTCGATGAACGGCGTCTCCGGCCCTGCAGCCTCCACCATCCACGTCACTCCTGAGGAGGGCTTCAGCTACGCGAGCTATGAAGCGATGAACTTCAACCCTGGCTCCCTGGTTTACAGTGACCTGATCAAGAGGGTGCTGTCATGCTTCCGCCCGTCAGACTTCTCCGTCGCCGTCACCATCTTCGGTGGCCAAGGCTTCGCCAAATCATGGGCGGCCGGTGCGGAGGTCTGCTCCTACCTGTGCGACGATCTCGTCGAGCAGGAGCTTCCGGGCGGTGGCCTGCTCATGTACCAGAGCTTCAGTGCAGTTGCCCCTGGCGCCGTGTCCCCGAGGTCGACCCTGGATGATGGCTGGAGCAGCGACGGGATGGAGATGGCCGCGCAGGGCGAGGAGGCGTGCGTCTGGGGAGTGGAGAAGAAGGTGACCGAGAAAGGTGTCGCTGCCTGAGAGAAATCTGCGGTTCCAGAGACGTCTGAAGTCTCTGAGATGGTGTCCTGCTATAGTAGTTTCGGTTAAGCAGCTGGCCGGGTGATCGGCAAAGCGTACTGTATCCCGTGTTACTGCTTTTATTATTTTTCGGTTGTTATTCCTGCCGAATAAGTGCTCTAGATGGTCTGCTGCGTCTGCCATATAGTGAGCAAAAGAGTCTATTCTGGGGAGAATGTACTAAATATTTATGTCTGTCGCCAATGCTCTTGTGGGGAGGACGATATTGTAACTTACTGCTACCTCGTTCATAATATGAGAGTGTTTTTGACACTATGTTCAATCAAATGTTGGAGTTCTCCGTTAATCTTGTCCGACATGCGAGTTGTGTTTGCCTGATATTGTAACCAGGCTTCTTATTTGTCTTGTGTCAGTCTTCGGCATACATTGTACTGAATATTGTCTAGAAGAGAAGCCAAAGGAAATTGTACTGTGGTCAATTTTCTTTTGAGTTAGTTGGTTTCTGCTGGTTTATGTGCCATGTCAGAGTAGCTCTGCTGAATTGAGTTTTTGTCTTTCTTTATGACACGCTGGCGTCCTCCCTTCTTCTCCTCACGTGCCTAAAACTATCACTCAACTGAACATGGAACACTAGATAACTGGACTAGAACCCACCGAACTGAGTTTATCACTTCCGTACGTAGTTAAAAGCTTAGTTGGTCAACACTTGAACTGAAATATACTCTCAGTGATCTTATCTAGTGAAAAGAATACTATCGCTTAAATAATTAAGGCTTTTACAAATTGCACATCAAAGCACCAGTGGTCTAGTGGTAGAATAGTACCCTGCCACGGTACAGACCCGGGTTCGATTCCCGGCTGGTGCATCTCTCACCTTTTTTATATTCATTTCCTTTTGGGACATACGCTATACTTAATCAAATTTTAAGGATTGGGTCTCGGTAGACAACTCGAACATTCATGCTTGTGCACGAAGTTACCAAATCCCTAAGGGCAATTCTGTCCATGCATGACACATTGGCCGTTCTCCCTCTCTTCCATCCACAACAATGACACCTGGTCACCCACCCTTCCCTTGTTCCGCCCTGTAGGACGCGGCTCAGGCCGTCGCCCGCACCCACACAGCCTCCCAGCAACACGCATCATCCGAGGGCAACCGCTTTTGCCGACGTTGGTGGGCTGGTTTCGCCGTCGTCGTACCATCCCCACGGCCATGCCACCCCCTTGCCTTCACCATCGCCGACAATGCTCCCAAGCCCGGCGTCCTCGCTTGACGGTCACCGCCACAGTCGCCTCCACGCCGACCGGCCTGCTGCCTTTTGGGACATACGCTATACTTAATCAAATTTTAAGGATTGGGTCTCGGTAGACAACTCGAACATTCATGCTTGTGCACGAAGTTACCAAATCCCTAAGGGCAATTCTGTCCATGCATGACACATTGGTCGTTCTCCCCCTCTTCCATCCACAACAATGACACCTGGTCACCCACCCTTCCCTTGTTCCGCCCTGTAGGACGCGGCTCAGGCCGTCGCCCGCACCCACACAGCCCCCCAGCAACACACATCATCCGAGGGCAACCGCTTTTGCCGACGTTGGTGGGCTGGTTTCGCCGTCGTCGTACCATCCCCACGGCCATGCCACCCCCTTGCCTTCACCATCACCGACAATGCTCCCAAGCCCGGCGTCCTCGCTTGACGGTCACCGCCACGGTCGCCTCCACGCCGACCGGCCTGCTGCCTGGTTTGGGAGAGGCGCGGGGCTCTTGACCGACCTCGGTAGACAACTCGAACATTCATGCTTGTGCACGAAGTTACCAAATCCCTAAGGGCAATTCTGTCCATGCATGACACATTGGTCGTTCTCCCCCTCTTCCATCCGCAACAATGACACCTGATCACCCATCCTTGCCTTGTTCCACCCTGTAGGACGCGGCTCAGGCCGTCGCCCGCACCCACACACCTCCCCCAGCAACACGCATCATCCGAGGGCAACCGCTTTTGCCGACGTTGGTGGGCTGGTTTCGCCGTCGTCGTACCATCCCCACGGCCATGCCACCCCCTTGCCTTCACCATCGCCGACAATGCTCCCAAGCCCGACGTCCTCGCTTGACGGTCACCGCCACGGTCGCCTCCACGCCGACCGGCCTGCTGCCTGGTTTGGGAGAGGCGCGGGGCTCTTGACCGACCTCGGTAGACAACTCGACCATTCATGCTTGTGCACGAAGTTACCAAATCCCTAAGGGCAATTCTGTCCATGCATGACACATTGGTCGTTCTCCCCCTCTTCCATCCGCAACAATGACACCTGATCACCCATCCTTGCCTTGTTCCACCCTGTTGGACGCGGCTCAGGCCGTCGCCCGCACCCACACACCTCCCCCAGCAACACGCATCATCCGAGGGCAACCGCTTTTGCCGATGTTGGTGGGCTGGTTTCGCCGTGGTCGTACCATCCCCACGGCCATGCCACCCCCTTGCCTTCACCATCGCCGACAATGCTCCCAAACCCGGTGTCCTCGCTTGACGGTCACCGCCACGGTCGCCTCCACGCCGACCGGCCTGCTGCCTGGTTTGGGAGAGGCGCGGGGCTCTTGACCGTCCAGCTTCTCCCACCACGTTCGCAAGATATTTGACGTTTCGCCCGCAAGGTACAAATTGATAGTGGAGATGGGTACTTCTTCAACAACTTCATTTGCAATTTGGACGATTCGTTGTTGGACGATAAGGAGTCCGTGGTTGCTATTTTGGTCGTCCATGACCATATTGCTAGGTAGTGGCCGAATTTTAGGGGCTCGATCCCGCGCCATGCTCTGACGTTGAATCGTAACACGGAGAGTGGCCATTTCTTACTCTAGGAAGACTGCTTCAAGGCCACTTCCCCCACTCTTCAAACACAAGCTATTTCGTCGCCGCTTCTGGATGGTTGTTAGATATGTGTTCAATGGTATTCGGGAGGGGGTGGTGACATACGATGATTATTTCATATCCAAGGAGGATGCCTTGAGAAAGGTTGGCTTCTCCTCTTATCAGAAATGCATTGTAGCTATTCAGATGCTTGCGTAGGGAACACCGGATGATCTTATTGATGAGTATGTTCCCATGAGTGAGTCCACGTGCCTAGAATCCATGTACTAGTTCTACAAGGCCGTGGTAGCAGTGTTTGGCCCGGTGTTCTTGAGAGAGCCAATTGCTGCAGATGCAACTCGGTTGTTGGTAATCAATGTAGATAGGGGCTTTACAAGGATGGTTGGTAGCATAGATTGTATGCACTAGACGTGGAAGAACTATCATCTGCTTGGCAGGGGCAGTATAGGGGTCATGTGAAGCTTGCACTGCCATACTTGAGGCAGTGGCTACACAATATCTATGGATTTGAAACTATTTTTTCGGCACGACCGACTCTCACAATGACATCAACGTGCTTCAATGTTCTCCAGTGTTCGGAAGGCTTGCAGAAGAAAACTTCACAAAGGTCAATGTTGAGATCAATAGCCACCACTACAACAAATGATACTACCTAGCTGATCGTATCGACCAGGGGTTTCAATTTCAGGGTGAAAATGTTGTGTCTGAGCATGGAGGAGTGACAACGCTTGCACACCTCACCTAATTTCATCATGAAATTTATGATTAGGCAACCCACATTCAACTACAAGATGATTTGGTTGAGCATATGTGGGCTCACCTTGGCAAACAATACATGTATTAGATCTTTTCTTTTAAATGTATCCGTGACAATTTAAATTCCATTTGGTTTGTCAACTATGACTTTTTTATTTGGTTGTGCAACTATTTCGTTTGAACTTTTCATATGTATGCAAAAAGTTCAAAAATTGGCTGCATACCGGCTGCGCAGATGAAAATGTGTCTGCCCACGTATTGACCACCCAAACATGAACAGGGACGGACACCGCCCAAAATGTCGACTCCAACGGACAAAATTTGTATCCGTTTGTGTTGGCGTGTTTGTTAGGACATTTCCCGTCTTTGTGTTTTGGTGATGATGACAACTATCTTTGTGGTCTAATCGTGTGCAAAGTTCTTCAGGTACTCTATGTTTAAGTACAAGTCGGTTAGGCATTCCCTCTGGACGAAAAAGATCGAAGACGGTGTTTTCTGCGTGTTTATTTCTTTGGTCGTAGGAAACCCGTACTATTAAGAGTGAATCCACATCGGAAGGTATTGGGTAAATCAATGCACGTACACATTTCTCTTCACCCACCGTTCCATTCCGGTTGAGTAGAGAGAGGTCCCCTTTCTCCTTCTAACTAGTGTTTTTACCTCCTAGCGGTTGTACTGCCCTCTAGGGCGGTTGTACCACATGCCCTGTTATTCTGACTCAACCACCTACCTAGGGGTGATACCCTAGGGTTGCACCTCCCAGGTACATGCCCAGCGGTAGTACCGCTGCCCCCAGGCGGTGGTACCGCCTCTGCTATGGGAAAACCCAGGAGGTGCCTGACGGGCGGTTGTACTAGCTAGGTACCACCCAACCGCCGGACTTTGTTTGTGATGGGGCGGTCCTTGGGTGGTGGTGGCCCGGTTGTCCCGGTTGTGCTCTGCTAATAGGTACTACCGGTGTCCCGAGTGGTTGTACCGCTCTGGACCTAGTCATCTCTGGTTCCAGGGTCAGGCAGTAGTTCCGGTGCAACTACCGCTCGACCATCGCCCATAGGGGTGACTCCCTTCTATTTCAGAGCGGTAGGCGAGCGATTGGTCTGGTTACTCATTGTTAACCGGTACTACCGCTCGTGCCACCCGTTGTAACACTTGCTAGGGTTACTGCTGCCTTCCCGTGAATCCCGGTTGTACTGGGGTCTTGAGCGATTGTATCGCTGCAGTGTAAAAACTGTTGTAACGGTTGGAAAAAGGGGGTCCGTGTATAAAGGGGGTTTCTTCTACCTACCTCCTAACCTCTTGCATCTCTCTCTCTCCTCCATTAGTGCCCTTCAAGCTTTTTTGCCTGATCTCTCTCTCTCTCTCTCTAGCCACTCAAAC